GCCGAAGGGGTGTGCCCAAGGAGATTGTTAGCGATAATGGGACAAACTTTGTAGGAGCGGTAAACGAGTTAAAGTCACTTGTAAGCGAGTTAGATGAAGAAAAGATCAAAGGGAAGACAGCAAGTAAGGGAGTGCGATGGTTGTTCAACCCTCCGGCGGCCCCACACTTTGGGGGAGTCAATGAAATTATAGTCAAAGCAGCAAAGAAAGCCATCTACGCGGTCGTAGGAAATGCGGAGGTCAACGACGAGGAGCTGATGACAGTTTTCAGTGGGGCAGAAAACCTTCTGAACTCACGGCCACTTACGTATCAGTCTTCGGATGTTCGTGACGTTGTTCCCCTTACGCCGAACCATTTCCTGTACGGTCAAGCGGGCGGTCAGTTAGCGCCAGAGGCGGTCGAGACCACGGGGTTTCACCCAAAACAACGATGGAGAAAAGTGCAGCACCTTATATCGCTAGTGTGGCGTCGGTGGATGAAAGAATACCTACCGACGTTAATTCCTCGGTCCAAGTGGCTGAAAGTCCATGGAGATTTGCAGGTTGGAGACGTTGTATTGGTTTGCCAGTCAGACGTTCCACGCGGTCACTGGCCTCTAGGGCGGATCCTTGACGTATTTGCAGGGGCAGATGGACATAATCGAGTCGCCCAAGTACAATTGGCGGAGAAGACGCTGATGCGACCAATTCACAAACTAGTTCCCTTGAATGTAGTTTGAACGTTTGGACACACTTGTTGAACTTTGTTCCCCAGTGTGGGGAGGGGGGATGTTTAAGAGAGATTTGACATTGTGGTTAATATATATTCAGTTTTCTGAAGTTTTGGCACTGGAAGGTGGAAACACCTGACCGAGCAAAAAGACTAGGACTAGAGCGTGTTTCGAGTGGAATTTTTCGCTGTTTTTATTTTGTATTGTCTTTCATATTTTATATTTTGATTAAAAAATCTAAAATTATCGTGTGTATTTGATTTGTTCGAGTGCGGAGCAAGCGTCTGCATGACACTGGAGAAAAACCATATAAATGTGATCTTTGTGAGCAGAGATTTAGACAGTCTAGCCACTTAGTGAAACATAAACGCACTCACTGTGGAGAAAAACCTTAGAGAATGGACGTTTGCAAGAATTGCAATGTTTGCAAGAATTGGAACGTTTCCAACAATTGACCAAAGACTTACAAGTTTGTTTTGAACGGCACTGGTGATACATTTTGAGATTATTTTAAGGACAAATCTCTTTTTCTGCGGTTGAAATTAGTTGTTTTTAAGTGATGACGTAGTCAGAAATCTTGGTTAACCATGTAAACAATGGTATGCAGCTAATTCAATTAAGGTTGTCCTCTGAAAATCGACGGTCAAAGAGGTTCGAGCTCCGAAGGAATGCTGCACATATTTTTATTTCTTGTTTACTGACAACTTTCAACCTAGAAAGCCGAAGACAGTCGCTTGGTAGCTCAAACAACAAGAATATGATAAAGATTTTCAGAGGCGAAATATGTGAGCATTGGAATAATAGGTTTCAAAATTCCCAGCAAGCTGTTCGACCTTGAAGTTCGAGGTTTTGAAGTTTTGACAACGGGACAGACTTAACTGAATTAGCTGTATACCGTATTAGTATTCTTCTGTTTTGGTTCATTTGATATTTTCAGTGTGTTGGTTATTTAAGAAGGCAGTTTCTTTTGATGCCATTTTTTACCAAGTTAGAAACATAGCGGTTGTTACTGTGCCAAAGACGAGGTTGCCAATTAGCCTTTCTCACACCATGCGACCAGGCCTTAAAATCCGCCAGTTTTGAGTGGCAAAATCATTGTTTTTGTCGATTATTTGTTATCAAAAGATAAAATTTTTCGTTTGTAAACAATTGTTTGTCACTTAACTACTTCATTCGTGTTAAAATTTGAATTAAATTGCAAAATTTTCCCATGTAAATACTCCCCGAAAATATGCATTTTTTTCATCGCGTATTTTTCTTGGCGAAATTTCAAAATTTTGTGTTGAAACTTTACACATATTTAGCGACAGTCACGCATTTACTAAAATACGATAAATTTGGTTCAAATGTTGTTTCTATAAAACAAAATTTACCTTATTCTACCATTTTGCCACCCAAAAATGGCGGATTTAAGGCCTGGTCGCATAGCGTAAGAAAAGCTAATTGGTATGCAAAGCTTTTCAAGTAATTAAACTATCAATAATCCGTAAATCTCATGCCCTGCATGTGGGAGCTTAAATGCAATCGGATCGTGCATGAATTAAAACTGTGGAAATTAATCCTGCATGGAATTCACGACATTTTATTAGTCAGTCATATCAGTTTATGAAAAGGCAAACTAATGTAACTTTCACACGGGAATTGTCCGATTCCAGAATTAGGTTCACGGCTAATTTGAATACGAAACGGGAAACACCTACTGCACTATCATGAAATAAATAGACATAGGGGGGAATGAAAACTATTTTCAGGTATCATCACTACCCCCCCCCCCCCCCCCCC